GTCAAGCGTTCCTGATGGATTTTTTCTTTTATCGAAGACACGGCTTTCTGAACTGAGCTAGATTTAAAGTTTGGCAATGGTTTCTTAGGCACTTCAGCTGAAACTCCTCTAAGTTTACCTTTGTGTTTAGGTAATGATGGAGCTTCTATTACTGGCGGAGGCTGTCTTACTATGGGCTTTTCTGCCTCAATTATTTTTATTGAGTTATTGTTTAGCTTAGGAGTTTCTAATTCAAATTCGTCTTCCGAAGAGGAGGGTGATTGTATAACAGGATTTGTTTTACTTAAACGTCTTACACGTATTAAAGGGGAATCCGTTAACTTGGTACTTTCTGTAATTTCCCTAACTGGACTTTCTTCTTTATTACATTCTACGATGTCTTTATTTTTCTCTTCAGTTTTTAAATTAATATCAACTTTTTCCAATTTCTTTTCTTTCTTATCACTAGTTTTTGGCGACTTTTCGGCGATATCTTCTTCTTCTTCTTTTTTCTGGTTTAAAGCTTCAAAAGCCTGCTCTTTAGCTTTTTTCAATTCATCATTGAGAGTTTTAAGTTTTAAATCCACTTCTGTCTCTTCTTTATCAATAATTGTGTTGTTGTACATATTTGCTATGCCCTCAATATCGTCTTCTAACAGACTTATATTGTCATCCTCATTGTCATTATCATCATTATAATCTTCCTCAGCATTATTGTCTATTTCATCTATGTCATAGACTTGTGACATGTTTTGGGACAAAAGACTAAAACTCTGTGAGAATATTTTATTCGACCAATCATTTACTTTTGTTTCCAATTCTTCGTCATAATCTTCGTCATCACTTATAATCCAGCAGGAATTTTCTAGTTCTTTGGGAACGGCAGAGAACACTTCTAATCCTGGCTCTTGTTTGATGGCCAATATTGCGCCAGCATCGTTGTTTGTTGCGACAGCATTATCATCCATTGTATTGGGTAAAGGTAAATTGTCTTCGTTATCTAGATCATCTTGCAGTTCTGCTTTCATATCGTTTATGAGTACTTGGGAAAACATTAGATCTTCTATGTCTTCGTCATCACTGTTTGGTGCATATTTGGTATATTCATCCAAATCAATATTATCAATGGCTTTAATAATATTAGCATTCTTTTCTTCCTCATCCAGGTTTACCTCCTCTTTTGAGTTATCTAATGAACTATTAAAAACATTCGGACTTGTGACCGTTTCAAAAGTAGTATTAGATTTCTTTTCTTGATCTTTGTTTTCCGCAGCATTGGGAACAATGGTACCCAATTCTTCCACCTCTAGATCTTCGTCATCGGTTAATACTACTAAATCACCATTAGTCAGCATTTTCTGTTGGCCATCTCCATTAAGTGGTTTTAAATTTTTGTTTACATGAATTTCTTTATATATTAAAGGATTTATTTCTTTAATTTTTTCTTGCAATACGTCATGACCGTCTATATCCCCAAATATATTCTCTATATCGGCCGAGACCGAACGTATACGTTCCTTTTTTAAATTTGATATAATTGGAACATGCAATAAAGTTTCTTTTCCTTCTTTATTGTTTTCAGCTGCAGGTTCTTTGTTATTTTGGGTTTTTTCTTTATTTACATCTTGATCATTAAATTTAAGATCTTTGTCCGTTAATGATTCTTTAGTTTCATTAACGCTCTTTATTCCTTCATTTAAAGTTTTCTCTTGACTTTTTTGCGAGGGATTTATATAGTCCTTGTCATCGCTAGGTTCATTTTTTATAATAATTTCTATTCGTTTTGTGAAATCCTTATACATTTCCCGTTGTTTGTCAGGGGATTTGCTCTCTGATACATTTTCTTTTCTTAACGTTATCACATCTGGAGAAGGTGTTTTTTTTCTCTGTTTCATTTTGTTTTGTTTCATTGGCGTTAGAGGTTTCTTTTAAGAGATCTTTAGGTAAA